AAAACTCAAATTTTGTAAATAATTTATGAACAAAATTTATTTATAATTACAATAATTAAAAATCGATATAATTTATAAAAATAAATAGACAAAACATTGAAAATCTGAAAATATAAGTCTAGTTTTAATTATTTTGTTAATCTTATACATAGATATTTAGAGTAATTAGAGGAATTATGTCACTACATATATTAATACAGATGTTTATTTTCCTATAAGTTAAACATATTTTTTCCTATAAAAACTATTAAAATGTTCGAATTATATATATATTTTTACCATAGAATGATTAGATCATTTAAAATTTATAAAGAATATAAACAACGTAGAGAAGCGTTGATTTTTCAATTATTCAAATTTATCCTTTTGTAATATATTTAACATCTAATAGCTTTTACTAGTTACTGACATTGATGGATGTTCCGTATCTAATAATATAATCCTACAACTTATCATTTTTATTTATTGAAAAAAATTTTTGATTGTAACTTTTAAGTATTAATTTTTTAAACTCTTTAGTGGAGTTATAAATCCATCCAATTAAACGACAAGTTAATTATAAATTTAGAAAAACCGATAATAATTAATAGAAAAAATTTAAGTTAAACATGTTCTTACTCAAAATCAGCTGTAATGAAGTCATATCATGCTTCTTCATTAATTTTTTATTTAAGATATAATATGAATATGGTATTAATCATTATTATTTTTAACTTTCCTTAATTATCTTAAATGTAAACATTTTTAATTAATTATTTTTACCGTATATAAAAAAAATGTATATATTTTACTTAAATAAAAACTTTTTTTATCGGAATCGAAAATCGATTTGAAAAAAAATAAATAAATAAAGTTTATTCTCTTCCGTGTTCTATCTTGTGGAATCTTAAAAATAAAATAAATAAATTTTGTTTTGACAGTAAGAAATACATATTTTGCACTCTCAAAATAGTTATCATCATTTATTTTTTAAAGGTTCAAAGAATAGAAGCTAGCTGATATTCTACTTTTAATTTTTAATTTCCCGTCTGTTATACAGAGGGAAAGTATGGCGATCTGCAAAAAATACCCCCCCCCAGATTTTTACATTTTTGGACTTAGGACATTTTGAAAAGTCGAGATATGCAAAAAAAATTTGGCGGTAATTTCTGTATGTGTGGATGTTAGTGAGTGTGGTTGTGTGGCACGAGTTTGTTTTATCCTCTTTGATTACTCCTGTGCTTTTTGTCGAAAACTTCTGAAATTTTGCAGCGTGGTTTGTTTATTAAGGGAATTGATGTTATTAAATTTTGATGGTTAAAGTTCGAGGGGGTGAGGAGATAATGGGGTCCGTGTGTATCTCCAATAGGTGTCGAACTTAATGATGATTTTATTCGTTATTAGCACTTACAAGTTTTTATAAAAACTCCTCCCTCAAAATTAAGCTTTTTGCCACTTTATAATAGTTAAAAATAAAAAACGTTTTTTTAATAAAATATGATAACAGATGATGCCACCAAAATTTTAAATGTTACCGGGAAAGTTGAGCAACCCGTTGCTGGTTTATTAAAATAATGTTGGAAACGTGTCGTTGAAGATTGATCTTTATTAATTATATAAAGTGTAGAACATATTTTATTTACATTTTTATATGTTATTTTTACACAAAATTAATAAATACAAGCTTATATTAAAATTTATAACATAAAAAAATTTACAATCTGTTTTTTTAACATTTATTTCTAAAGATTTGTAAATAAATCTGTTTATATTATTTTTGGTTCTTTAACATTTCATTTCATATTTACATTTAATCTGTTTGGAAATAAATTCATAATTATTCAAACTTGAAAATAATTAGATTTAATTCGGAATTTTAAGTTTAAAAATAATTAAATGTAAAATTTCGTAAACGTAAAAATGTATATAAAATTTGTTCATTAAGCAATTTTTGGACAAAGAAACGTACATTATCATCCCAGAAATGATTAATGATTTTTTAATGAAAATAGTTAAGATAATAAAGGAAAAGTGTCTCTGTTGTGTTGAACTACAAGAACCGACTTAAACGTAAACAGCATCGATTTTTTCCTGTACACTATAAAATTATAACAGCTTAATTTAATTTTAATTCAACATATTTTTCATTTTAATAAATTTATTTATTTATCAAACATAATATTTAATGTAAGAACATTTTTAATGTTGAAAGCTTTTTAAACTATTGATATTTTCCTCTTATAACGTATCGTTAAATTATTCCCTCAATTATCTAACTACAATTTTGTCATAAAAGAAAATTTTTAAAATACAGTACTATAATTTTATAGTAATACAATAGCTATATAAAAATGAAATAATATTTTTATTTTTATTTTAGTTTATCATTATTTTTCTTTCAAAATTAGGGATAAAAAGTGATGCGACAACCGTCAGCTCCTTTAACTATGTAACTTATTTACATGTTAAAATATTATCATCCATTTAACAAACATTCCGAATGATTTGTTAATAGCTGTATGGAATTAATATTTAGTATTATAGAAAACTTAGTATTGTATGTTTATTCAGTTTTATTGTCGTTTATGTGGGTCTACATGCAATGCAGTGTGTCTGATTTTAATTTAATATTATTATAATGAATATGAAGAAATAGATTTATTATTTGAGATGAAAAGGCAAAACTGTAGTTCTATGTAAAATCAGATTTTCGAGATTTAATCAAACATTAAAGCTTATACAGTAGGCTATATATAAAATACACAAGACAGAAAATCTCTTCTATTTACTTTGAATAGGACGAATCTATTCTAATTCATCCTATTGATCAAGTCTTCTCAAACTATAGAAACGAAGTCGGGAATTAAAGAGTACTTTCGAAAACTTTTATATATTTTATTCTATTTCAGATATTCATCATTACATCAAAAATAGCGATCAGTTAGATTTCAATACCATCCAAAATTCTTTGACGTCTTCTATTTTGGTTAAGAATTCAACGGTTTTCATATTATAAAATTTTGTCATAAAATTTTTATTTCGTATACAATTATAAAATGTATTTCGGATTTATATATTAGCTACTCGATTAAATATTTATAAAAGCGTATAAATATAAAATATTATCCAAAAGTTCTGAGCGATGAGGAAGCCAAAATTTTAATATACTGTATTAGCTCATTCCATTATATGCTACTCATTTATTGATGGAAAATGGAGTTCTTAAAACGTTTTTTGCTTATGAATTTTTAATTCGTTTTATAAATCACGTTATTGTAAATTGGTTTATTATCTATATACTTTATTCGTTATTATGCAATTTTAAAACTTCAATTTCACTTTAAGTGTTAGAGATAAAAGTTAAAGAAGCTTCTAAATCAGGGGTCGCCAAACTTTTTTAACCGCGACCCCCAATCACTTTCCAAAGCCTCACATTGACCCCCACCGTAAAGTTTTATTAGAAGTGAATATGTATGAGCGAAAAAATAAAAAAAAAACGTTGTGGGTTGTGGTCTCTGTCTAAGCAATAATAATAATAATAAAGGTTGTGACCCCTTAGCTGCATCGATCCCCTAATCGTCCCCCTAGCCGCATAGAACCCCAATGATGTTGCATCGACCCCTGGGGGTCCATATCGACCACTTTGCCGACCCCGGGGCAATTTGAAAATGAGTTGTTGATCTTTTTTTTTTAGGCATCAGAATTTTTCATCGAGCTATTCGGACTTGAGTAGCTAATATTGGAAGATTAATCGCGGGCCACATAAATTCATTAGACAGGCCGTATGTTGGCCATGCCTGGTATAGCCACTCGTATATGTTAGGGGGCATGAGAATTTTAGAAAGGCTTAGGTGGGGCATAGCACAAAAAAGGTTGGGAAACACTGCTCTATAGTGAAGTTGGTTGAAACATTTCACTTATGTTGAAATGTTTTAATTACTTAACTTGTTATGTAATTATATATGGCAAAATTTTTAATAATGATAATTTTATTTGAACGTAATAAGTAAGCAAATTTGAATGAATATTAATTTTTATTGGAATAAAAGTGTAACAAATTATTATTATTACTTATACATATATAATCTAACAACGTGTTGTGTAACTTTTCCGGCAACATTTAAAACTGAGTGTGGTGCCATCTGTTACCGATATGAACTTTTATTTTAAAAATTTTTATATAATTATAAAATGGCAAAAAGCTTAATTTTAAAGTAAGAGCTGAGTTTTATAAAATTGTAAATACGAATAACGAGTAAAATCTTCATTAAGCCCGATTTTACTTGAGATATAACACACGATTTCCCTCTATCTCACTACTTCCTTGACCTCTAACTACGAAAATTTAATAGCATCAATGCTCCTAATACACAAACTTTCCTGAAAAATTTCAGAAATTTTCGACAAAAGACACAGGAGTTATTAAGCTTCGAAGTGGATGAGCAAAATCGTGTCCCCATATACACATTAACATCCATACATAAGAAAAAAACCCGAATTTTTTTTTTCTTGCGTTTCTCTACCTTTTCCTGAATCCAAAAATGTAAAAATCTTTGGGTGGGTCATTTTTTCACCGATTGCCATACTTTCCCTGTTATATGTGTCATATCTCAAAAAGTTTCGGACTTAATTTTACTGGTTATTTGCATTTAAAACTTTTTGAAACTCATTCCTGGTCTTAAAAATAAGCCTTTTGCCTTTTTATAATAATTAATAATATTAGATTTCATTAACAGATGGCGCCACATACAATTTTAACTTTGTGGTGTTAGTGTTTTTTTTAAGCTAAAATATATTTTTAAATAGAGAAATTTATCACACTTCAACAAAATCACTCTTTTTAAGCTTTTATTATCGTTTTAAATCTTATATCGTAATATAATCGAAAATTATCGGATTTCTTGATCCCCTTGACCTCCAAGTGCCAAGAAAGTCGAACAATTTTGCCAGTTTCTTCACATTTATTAAGGTAATGTTAACTTCATTTTAAAGAATAATAATAATAAATCTTGTCAGATTTTTATTCTAAACTCGATATTACAAGTAATATAATTTATGTTACGTTATAGGTCAAGAAAATATGCACGTAAGAGCAGCTATGCCAAATGATGCCGTCCATTTTGAAATTTCTCATACTGAACGCGGGAGACGTATATCTGATGTTTTATTTAATCTTGGATTAAAGGAATCGCGAATTTTAAAATCAAGAATGACATGGAGACCACAGATATGGCAAAATGTCAAGGTAAAACTTATTTTCTGAATATTAAAAAATGCATATATATATATATATATATCAAGTAAAATTAAAAATTTATTTGTAATTAAAGGATGCGCTCTCTAATAAGTACAATGAAGTTTCTGATGTTGTCATTGTAAAAAAAGATAAAATTGTTTCCGAATTTACAAATGAATTCAATGCCAAGAAGCAGGCCANCATATTATATATAATATATAGAAGAAAGAAATTTTCTAAATATAAAGTTCTTCTTCTGTATCACGTAAGTATAAATAGCGTAAATATCTCTCAAAATCCACACCTTATCCATTTTAGAGGATAATAAGATTTACTAGATTTCTTTATACGTAAATTCAAATATGAATTCTTGATATGATTAATATGAACATATCAATACATTCGTATTTTATTCAAATATTTTCTTTTAAGTTGTTAATATAATAATAAAATTTAATTGGAACATTTTTATATTCAATTATATTTTTTAAAACGAGTATTAAATTTTAAAACATTTTAAAGAAATGTATTATTTTTTAGTTATCACTTGAAGCAGGTTTCATTAATTTAAAGTAAGAACTGATGCGGATGAATTTAAAAGAATTTCAGCAGTTTTGCTGCTTTACAAATTATTTTACGCAAGAAAAACAGTTTTTCAATTGAAGCTGAGAATTCTCATTAACTGAGATGAAAGTTAGTTTTGTGAATTGCATTCTTTCACTTACTTGTTAAGCAATTAAAAGTTTGTCTTAATTTGTATCTAAGTTAAAATATAGCTAAACTTATTAGAAGGGAAAAGGTCATTGTATATAAAATAAACAGTTTTAATATTTCGGATTCTTGTAATGAAAATGGTTATAAGGCCCAGACAGTTAAGCACTGAAAACGTCTGAATAATTTATGCTCATTTAAATATACTCAAATAGAAGAAAATATACTAAAATAAAATGATTGGATTTTAACAATACAATAAACAATCTTTACATCTATTTTGGCTCGAGTGGTTTCGTATTGCAGTAAGTGACAAAAAATTCTTTAAATTCAAACTTTATAAAATGTTTTTACAGTTTGGAAGGGGAAAAAAAAAACTTCTTTCCTGATCATAGAAAGTGACCGAGTTAAATTGGAAACGGGACAATTCCAGTGGTATCATATATGTTTCGATACTTATATCTGATTTCACAGTTAATACTGAATATCCGAAATATTTTGGAATCCTGGATTTCTTCGAAGTATGTCTCGTAGCTTGTTCTTTACTATTTCAACTATTGGACTTTGTGTTTCAGAAACTTTCGTTTCCTTTTAATGGTATGAATTTCTTTCAATATGTTTTCAGAAACTTGTTGAATTAGATTCAAGGAATTACTGATTGGGGCTGGTTTTGTTTTTTTCTAGAAGCAGTTCCAGACTTTCGTTTTTTAAGATAATTAAGTGAAATTTAATCGGTCAATCAAACTAAATTTCCGAGTCTTTTCGCATTGCTTAATCACATGCCTTATTGGTCATATTGCAAGATCAGTTGTCATAGTGGGGAGTGAGTGCATGTATGATTACTAAACTGACATCACGGGACCGTCCTCTCGCATTGTTTCATAGCTTTATTTTTATGAATGAGAGTAACCGATAGCACTTATAATGGTAAATAAAATATCAAAACCAATTTGCTGGTCAGTAACACAGTGGCGTACCATGGGTGTCAGCCGCCCGGGTATAGGAAAATTTCGCCCCCCCTTATTTAGGTACTTCAATTTAAAAGACTAAAATTCACTTTTGTCACAGAACAAACAATGGAAAATTCCGTACTAGTGCAGCGACCTGTTTAAATAGCTGTATTGGATATTAGTGGTGTATATGAACGCGAATGAATCGTACAAGCAAAAAAAAAAGAAAGAAAGAAAGAAAAGGTCGACAGGTTGCGCAGGATATCGTCGGACGAAATTACTAGTTCACCCGGAGGGTGAGCCGATTCCCGGACTGTCCGGACGATAGCACTATTGTAGACGCGACGCAAATATAGATTAGGATGGTTCGAATTTTTACAAAATATTATTATTATTTATTGTGAAATTTTGCCGCCCCTAAAAAGTGCCGCCCCTGCAGCCCCCACTACGGTACGCCACTGCAGTAACATGATTTTTCATAATGTACCAATACTAGTCTATATAACTTGTAAAGTATATGAACCACAGCTAGGATCAAAAGTTCAATACATAGTTATTCTAAATAAATTTTTTTGTCTTTCATTTACTACAAATATTTTAAAATAAGCAATATATACTAAATCAAAAAGTTTATATAATTTCGTGCAAATGAATTATATTTTATAAAAATATTTTTGATGTAGAATACTATTCATTAATCACAGTTAGAATACGATTTAAGTACAGGAAAATGTATTTGCATAACTTTCCGGATCATAATTTAACGATTAGCTCATAAAATAATTCTAATTATTCTAAAATATTATTTTTTTTCCATTTTTGTCTCTGTTCACCTCGTAGGGACTAAAACGCTTTTGTAATCATGCTCATTATGGTTTGGCCAGCCTCACACTGGGACGGCCACGTGGTGAGAGGCGAGATCCGACATATCCGGGACTGCCTATGAAAAGTAGCCGGGATTCTCCTCTAGGATTCGAACCCAGGTCCCTCAAGAACGGTATATTGATGCCTTTACCGCCTTGTCCGTCGGCCACTAAAATATTATTAGGCATTGCTTTAATGATATTTGTAATCTTAGGATATGTGGAGTACAAACAGGCCGTGCGTTTAATTTTTAACCCATAAGTACCCTTTTTTTGTATTAAGTGTTACATGATAGTTATAGGCGTTATTTTTGTATTTCTGTGTTACTTTTTTTAATTAATTTTTAAATTCTTCCCAAATGAGTTCAAGACCCCAACCACAATTTTTTGCGGGTTTGGCTACAAATTAGAAATGTACTTACTTGTTTTTCAAATATAAATATAACGCATATAAATCCCAATTCAAACGAGCAATTATTTATTGTGACATAGCCAAATGCTGGGCTGCAATTTTTAATCATGTTTTTAATTTATTTAATTTAAAATGTATGCTTTCCACCTCAAATTAGTAGTGTCTTGCCCCTGTACATCATACTTTTCCTTTAACAATAGGGTTGTGCCGGTCATTTATCTAACGCCTTTCAGGGAAAATTTTTGCATTGAAATAACGTGACTTCCTGTTTACATCGGAAGTTCATATATAGTTCACCGGGCCTCCTGTTCCTAAAAGTTTCTATATCTGGTCTTGGATTTCGTTTATCTTAACTCCATTCTCGCGATTAAAGAAAGACAGACGGATGGATGACAGTGGGAATTTATAGGCCTACAATTTTTTTCAAATTGCAGCCAAGTAACAATCGATTTGCGGTAAAATTACATTTCTATTTTTTCAAAAAGTTTAAATTTTGTTTTGAATATTATAATATTTTATATGAGAGTATGAATATGCTAATTAATACAAGAAACGATTCATCCGAACCATAACCTAATCAACTCGTCGTCATGACAACGTCTTCGACTGCTTTCCGAACGACTTAAAACTTATGAAGTTTTCCTCTTTATAGTCGCAATATTTACGTCATCTTAGTTTACTACACACTAGAACAACATATATGAATGGAATTTTATCGAAAAATCAAATAGTATTTTCTTTTATGTTTATTAATTTACTATAAACTTAAATATAGACTGTTGATTTTTATGCATTTTTGATAATTGTTTAAAATTATCAAAAATACACACGAATTGCTGTGGATAAGCCAGTATAAGATCAGATTGTAAACTTGAGACGTATAATTTTAAACCAGCCAAGTCCACTTACGTTAATTTTGAAACTAACTTCCAATAATCATCCCTTTTTTTATTCCTTTTTTCTGTTTTATGGCCAATTTAGAAACTTAAAAAGCATTGAAAAGAGGAAGAAAAATACACAAGATCAAATGTTCATTTAACTTTTCGAAATTACGGACTTGTTGTTTTTGAAGCTAAACGTCTCATTTTGTAAAAGTATTGTTTTTGCAGCACCATTACCGTCACCAGACAAAATATATTAGATATTTTTATGGAAATAAAATAATCTACATTTCTTCTAATCTTAATTAATAAATAATACACGAAGTCCATTCAGATAATTCAGAAAAGCATTCGAATTTCAAGTTTTTAATTCTAATAATAAGCATAACTTATATAATTTTGTGTTTATGTATTTAAAAAAATTATTTATGCTTAATATCAAAAAATAATTTCTCCTGATATTGCTGAGAGTCAATTTATTAACTACTATAAATTGTTTTTATTTCGTCCAAACGATGCACATTTTAACATCAGTTTGACATCATCTCTTCAGTTTTACAAATAACAAGTTTAAACATGATATCAAAGTGACGTAAATGTAGACTTTCTGGACTAAACGAAGCAAGCCTAACGTGGCCATGCATCCCGATTTAGGCTGGACACTCACTGCATTTGAGTTTCAGGTCACACTGTCCTCAAATGCTTGGCGGGGCAACGAATATATCATTTCAGATACACTACGTCCCTCAAAGACAGGAGGCTTTTGATGTTCTTGATTTGCTGAGTGAACGATGACGCTAGTACATTGTTCAGAGTGCATTAACAGTCGATTGAATAGTCTGTCGCAAAATCGCGCATATGTACGTTATAACTATAACTTCTATAATCAATCAATAATTCAATACAATAGCCCAATATAGTTTGAGTAATACGGCTGATATTTCTCTCTGGCGGCTTCCTCTGTCTCCCTGCGAGAAACTAACTTATTGTTGAAACCTCGAAGAGCTGCTTCTAGCGAAGTGTAACTTTGATGCTTCCGGTACTGGGAGTTCGTGCGAGAACACTCATGCAACGCTCAGATCTAATGAGAAAAATTCACTCATAGGTGAAATATTGTACAGTAAATGTGCTTCCATAGAGGAAACAATTACGAGCAAATCATCAGTTGCGCAGCAGTTAGATCAGGGGTGGCCAACAGTTTTTGCCCCCGGGCCGAATTGGAAAGAAAACTTTTTTTACGGGCCGAACCAGAGGCTACCCTAATAAGATTTTGAGGTAGTGCGAGATCTCATTGTGGGGTCACCCCGTAGAGACTAAATTGTACATAGAGA